CACACACACACACACACACACACACACACACACACACACACACACACGCACACCCTGCCAGTTCTGTTTCTCTGAAGATTCCTAATGCTTAGTTCCAGGATTTTCATCTGGGATTGTCTCCCCCCACTTCTCAGTCCATGCAGTTCAGGTCTGTTTCTGCCAGGGCTGCTGAGCTTTGGGGATTTAAGCCTAATCTGCTGGTGGCGATTTTCTCACCAGGAGGAACAGGTCTGCCTGACAACGAGCAGTGAGAAGCACGAGCCCAGATACGGGAGAGCTGGTTTCAAATCTTAATTTTGTTCTTAATTCTTAATCATTCAAGTTCAAAATCATTCTTAATTTTGTTCAGAGGGTAAAAATAGCATCTTGTTTTAAGTTACATCTCTATGATTACTAAGGAGGTTGAATATCTTTTCTTTTCTTTTCTTTTTTAGATAGAGTCTCGCTGTGTTGCCCAGGCTGGAGTGCAGTGGCGCGATCTTGGCTCACTGCAACCTTCGCCTCCCGGGTTCACGCCATTCTCCTGCCTCAGCCTCCTGAGTAGCTGGGACTATAGGCGCCCACCACCACGCCTGGCTAATTTTTTGTATTTTTAGTACAGATGGGGTTTCACCGTGTTAGCCAGGATGGTCTCTATCTCCTGACCTCGTGATCCGCCTGCCTTGGCCTCCCAAAGTGCTGGGATTACAGGCATGACCCACCGCGCCTGGCCATACTTTTTCATATTATTTAGTTAGCCTGTGATTTCATTTTTTAAGAATTGCTTTTCTTATCCTTTGCCCATTTTCCTACTAAGTTACTTCTTATTTATTTGAAGGAACTCTTTATATATGATGGACAACAATCCTTTGTAATAAAGCACTGTGAAATAAATAGAGGTTTGGAGACAGATGGGAACCTGAGCCCAGAGATCTTCAGAGTGGGCAGGAGCTGGCTCTTACCTGACTCCGGTCCTCTGGATCCACAAAGATATTTTCAGCTGTCACATTTCCATGAACATACTCATTCTCATGGAGGAACTCCAGGGCATCCAGCTGGGGGAAGAAGCAAGCCAGTGTCTGCACAAGCAGTACGACTAACACAGCCTCTGGTGCAGACTGGGGCAGGGAGCCCCACTATTAAGGCCTGGGGTCGTCTGGCACTGTGACTGGGGGTTAAACCTGACTAAATCCGGGGCAGCATGAGGAGCCCGCTGTGAGAGCACATTGAGCAGCCTCTAATCAGGCTGTTGGGGAGCTCACCAGTTGAGCTAATGCGTGGCTTCCTGTATTTCTCTCTTAGCTGATGGCTAACTCAGGAGAGGGAGAAGGGGTTAATGTCTGTCTGCAAAAATGACTCAGCACCTGTGAATATCAAAAGAGCTCTTCTTACCTGTCCTAGAGAGCAGAAATCAATCTTGTTAAGCAATTTATATCTTGATCTCCAGCTCCAGCTGTCCCACTGAGCTCCAGACTTTTTTTTGGTGTGTGTATACATACATATTTTTGAGACAGGTTCTCACTCCTGTTGCCCAGGCTGTAGTGCAGTGGTGCAATCACTGCTCACTGTAGCCTTGATTTCCCAAGCTCAGGTGATCCTCCCACCTCAGCCTCACAAGTAACTGGGACTACAGGTGTGCACCACCACACCCGGCTACTTTTTTCTAGTTTTATTAGAGAGGGCATTTTGCCATGTTGCCCAGGCTGGTCTTGAACTCCTGAGCTCAAGTGATCCACCTGCCTCATCCTCCCAAAGTGCTGGGATTACCAGCGTGAGCTGCTGCACCAGGCCAACGCTTCAGTTGTGTCTGCTGCCCGAGGATCAGCGACATTCCGATCACATCCCCAACCCTCTTTGATCCCAGGGCCAAAGTTCTGCTCGTTCTCCTTCTATAGACTCTCCATCCCCAGGGCCCGGGACCCTCCTCAGCCTTGTCCTCTCCAAATGGACCCTCACTCAGATTCTTCTCCCAATTCCAGTCCCTCCCCATATGGCCCCTGAGGGCCTTTCTGTACCCAGAGCTGACCCTGCCCTCCCCTAATCCCAGCACTCTTGTGGCTCTCCAGTGCCCTCAAGACAGATCCCAGCCCCTGAGTCTGCTGTGCGAGGCCCTGTGTGATGTGGTCACTGCTGACCTGTCCACACCAACTCCATCTCTCCCCACTGCAGGGCCATAGTGCCGACACTGAACATAAAGACCTTAGGACTCAGCATGTCGCTCCCTTGGTACGTCCATCCCTCCAGCGATGCAAACTGGGCCCTCTTATTCTCCATCACAGCAGGGGCCGCTTCTACTCAGAGCACTCTTCTTAGTTTGTGCAACTGTTTGATTTACTATTGGCCCCTCCCACTAGACTGTGAGCTCCAAGACACAGAAACCATGTTTGTGTTGCTCCCTGCTCTGCACCCAGCCCTGGGGACAGCATCTGGCACCCAGCAAGTGCCTGATGAATATTTAATGAGGATGAATGAATTAATTAATGAACAAATGCCATATGCTCTCTATTCCACATAAGCCTTGCTCCAGCTGTATCCTTGGCCGAACCATCCTCTCATCTATCCTCCGCCTCTTCCACCCAGCACCTCGCTATTTCCACTCATCCTGAGAGTCTTGGCTTAGAAACACCCTCCACCAGGAAGCCTAATCTAAGCCTTCAGTTTGAGGCTGGGGCTCCTTCCTCCAGTGCTCATGGCCCCCCAAGGGCCCTCCACAGGACTGACCCCCCAACATCCCGGCTCTAACCGCCTGCCATGTCAGTCAGTGAGCCAACCCCTAGTGTGCGGCGGAGGGAGGTGGGGGCCGGATGTGTCAATGACTGAAGAGTCTGCTAAACTAGGATCTGACGCGCCCTCCCTGACGCAGCAGCTCAGCAACTTCTGGGTACGCACCAGCCGGCAGGCCACCTGTAGCACAGACCTCTCTGACAGCACATGCTCTGGGCTGACATCCAGGGCCGACTGAAGGCTCCTCCCCAGGCTGGGTAACACCAAGAACCTGGAAGACACAAGCACCCCAGGAGGTGGGCGATGAACAGGGGAAAGAGGAGAACCGGCTGCCAAGGATGGACTGTGGTGGGGGCTGCAAGGTCCTGGTCCCAGGTAAGATGAAAAGTTCTGACTGGCTGGGCAGCAAACTGGGTCAAAACTACGAGAAGGCAGGAAGAACTGGCCCACAGCTTCGGGGTCCCAGCCATGCCTGGACTCACGACAGGAAGAGGAGGAAAGGGGCCAATGAGGCAAGCAGTGAGTAGAGCAGCTCACCTGTATTTGTCCTGGTGAACACCAAAACCCATGCAGGTAGGGATAGCCAGTCGCGGGGTCGAGTACAGCTTCTTCCACTTGTTGACTGTAGAAAACAGGGGCTTGAGGTTAGAAGACAGCCAGTCTCAAGCCCATGGCAATAAGAGCCAGTTCTCAGAGCAGAAGCACAGAGTGCCCAGACTGCCTGTGAGTCTCCTTGTCGGAGATGACAACATTGTGGGTGGGTGACTGTTGGAAGGGGCTGGTGACGGGGCAGGCACGGATGACCCATGAACGTCTGTGATCCAGGTCTGTAGATGATGGGGTGAACATGGTGGTTCTGGAGGAAGCGTATACAAATCCGGAGTGCAGAGATGGGATAACGACAGGGTTACTTCCGAATTCACACACAGAGCTAACAAGACCAACGTGTGTCTAATCTAGCCATGACGTCACCAGAATGTGCCTCTGCCTGTCTTCCAGATGTCAGCGGGGTGGACCAGAACCAACGGCAGCTGACGCTAGTTTAACAGCTGGCTGTCCAGGGAAGTTAGTCCTGATGGGTAGCATTTGCTAATTTCTTTTTTCTTTTTTTTTTTGAGACGAAGTTTCACTACGTTACCCTGGCTGGAGTGCAACAGCGCAATCTGGGCTCACTGCAACCTCTGCCTCCTGGTTTTAAGCGATTCTTCTGCCTCAGCCTCCTGAGTACCTGGGGTTGCAGGCGTCTGCCACCAGGCCTGGCTAATCTTATTTATTTATTTATTTTGAGATGCAGTCTTGCTCTGTCACCAGGCTGGAGTGCTGTGGTGTGATCTCGGCTCACAGCAACCTCCACCTCCCAGGTTCAAGCAATTCTCCTGCCTCAGCCTCCCGAGTAGCTGGGATCACAGGCACGTGCCACCACGCCCAACTAATTTTTGTATTTTCAGTAGAGACAGGGTTTCACCATGTTGGCCAGGATGGTCTCGATCTCCTGATCTCATGATCTGCCCACTATGGCCTCCCAAAGTGCTGGGATTACAGGCGTGAGCCACCACGCTCAGCCCTTTTTTTGTATTTTCAGTAGAGATGTTTTGCCATGTTGGCCAGGCTGGTCTTCAACTCCTGACCTTAGGTGATCCACCCGCCTCGGCCTCCCGAAGTGTGGGGATTACAGGCGTGAGCCAGCACACCCGGCTGCATTTGCTAATTTCTGCAGTGTAAATACTCCCGCTATGGCCAACTCCAAGCTGCCAACATGACATGACTGGAGGTGGGTCGGGGAGACGCACAGCGGCGGCCGCCATGCGGCATTCTCTCCACACAGAGACAACAGTGCACACAACCTCACTGGCAGGGATCACAGGACATGTAGGGAAATAATTAGAAAGTGATGAGTTTCTGAGGGTTCATTACCTTTGTTTTGAATATACTTGTAAGATTATATAATTTATTTATTTCATATATTTTTTGAGACTGAGTATCACTCTATCGCCCAGGCTGGAGTGCAGTGGCATGATCTCAGCTCACTGCAACCTCCACCTCCCAGGTTCGAGTGACTCTCCCGCCTCAGCCTCCCATGTAGCTGGATTACAGGCACATGCCACCACGCCTGGCTAATTTTTGTATTTTTAGTAGAGATGGGGTTTCACCACATTGGCCAGGCTGCTCTCGAACTCCTGATCTCAGGTGATCCACCCACCTTGGCCTCCCAAAGTGCTAGGATTACAGGCGTGAGCCAACACGCCCGGTCTATATAATTTAATTGCTAATACTGGCTATATGTAACCACCAGCTTGCCATCTTCCTGAAAATTTATTTTATTTTATTTTATTTTTTGAGATAGGGTCTGGCTCTGTCGCCCAGGCTGGAGTGCGGTGGCACAATCACAGTTCACTGCAACCTCCACCTCCCGGGCTCAAGCAATCCTCCCACCTCAGCCTCTTGAGTAGCTGGAATCACAGGCGCATGCCACTACACCCGGCTAATTTTTGTATTTTCAGTAGAGATAAGGTTTTGACGTATTGCCCAGGCTGGTCTCAAACCCCTGGGCTCAAGTGATCTGCCCACCTCAGCCTCCTAAAGTGCTGGGATTATAGGCGTCAACCCACGCCCAGCCTCAAAATGTAATACTTGGCTTCCAAGAGCTGGTGTGAGGCAGCCACAACACACACTGAGGCCTGAGGGGTGACAGGAGTCAGGTTATGGGCACAGATGGGAGCAAACCTGGGCCTTTAATCTAAACCCACCCTTCTCACACCAGCAGGTAGAATCCAGGTGCTGTGACCATGCTGGCGCCCCCTCACTCTCCCCTCCTTGCCCAGTTCCCTGCCAGGTACCTTGCAGAGGCTTGGCGGCCCGCTGGAAGAAGTTCTGCTCATTGAACAAGCGCCCATCCTTGGCATCCTGGTGGGGGACAGGAGAGGCAGAAGGCTGTCACACTGAAGTCTCAGACAAGGGCCCCCAGTTCCCACTGGCAATTTATTACTCCCTCGATGATGAGGTTCCTCATCGAGTCCCCACATCAGAGCCAGATTCCTCAGGTACTACACACAAACACACATCAGAGACTGCGAGCTACCTCCTAGTACCCAGGTTTCTTTTCTTTCTTTTATAAGAGCCACAGTGTTCCCTACAATGTGGTGTTCAGCTTAAAAACTACGTTTCCCAGCCTCCTCTGCAGTGAGGACTGACCACATGACCAAGTTCTGGCCAATGAGGATGTGAGCAGAAGAAACGTGGGCAACTTCCAGGTTATGCCCTTAAAGGGCTTTCCTTTCCTCTTCTGTTCCAGCTGGCTGCAATGCAGATGTGATGGTGGAAGCTGAAGCAGCCACTACAGCCCAAGAGATGCAGGTTATGCGTTGAAAATGTTGGTGCAAAAAGACAAGGAAACAGGGCCCCTTGTTTATAAAATCATCATGTCAGCTCTGGAAAACTGCCCCTGATTTTAAGTGAAAAAGCAATAAAAATATCATCTTGCTTACGCCACTATTAATACTGGGTATTTGTTAAAAATAACACCAATGGCCAGGTAGGGTGGGACAAGCCTGTAATCCCAGCACTTTGGGAGGCCAAGGCAGCTGACGGATCACTTGAGGTTAGGAGTTCTAGATCAGCCTCGCCAACATGGTGAAACGCTGCCTCCACTAAAAATACAAAAATTAGCCAGGCACGGTGGTGTGTGCCTGTAATCCCAGTTACTCGGGAGGCTGAGGCAGGAGAATTGCTTGAACCTGGGAGGCACATGTTGTGGTGAGCCAAGATTGCACCTTCAGCCTGGGTGACAGAGTGAGACTTTGTCTCGGGGGGAAAAAATAAAAAATAAAAAAAAAGCACCAAATATTTTAATTAAAACACAACTCGTGCAGCTGGGTTCTTAAGAGTACAGAGTCAGCTGGGTGCAGGTGGCTCACACCTGTAATCCCAGCACTTTCGGAGGTGAAGGTGGGAGGATCGCTCGAGCCCAGGAGTTCCAGACCAACCTGGGCAACACAGGGAGACCCCATCTCTATCAAAAAAAGAAAGAAAGAAAAAATTAGCTGGACGTGGTGGTGCATGCCTGTGGTCCCAGCTACTTGGGAGGCTGAAGTGGAATGATCACTTGAACCTAGCAGACCAAGGCTGGGTAAGCCTTGCACCGCTGCACTCCAGCCTGGGTGACAGAGAGACTCTGTCTCAAAACAAACAAAAACCCAAAAGAATTAAATGACATAATGCTTGTGACACTCAGCCCAGGGACTGTCACATAATAGGTTCTCAATAAGCAGGTGCTGCTACTGGTCATTAGTGAGCCTAGCTCCCTGCCCCAGCTCCTCTTCTTGTCCTTCCTTTTCCCTTTTTGCGTCCTGGAGTCCTCCCCACGATGCCGGCGAAGCCCATAGTGACTGACGCGAGCGACGTGGGCACAGCCATGTAGGCCCTGAGCAATCTCACGTGGTGTATTCGTGCCTGCCCCACTCTCCCAAGGGGGCAGCTCCTTTAGGGCAGCAATTGGGTCTGACCCATCTCTGCAGAAGTCCCCAGCACTCGGTTCACAGGAGGCTGCAGGAAAGGCTTGGTGAATGAATGAATAAATGGATGGATGAACACCACTGGGCATTCAGCCCTGACCTTTCGAATGCTTCAGAACAGAGCTGCCTTCCCAGTGGATGGAATGTCCTCTGGTCAGCCGGGTGCCCTGTGCTCCCCGCCCAGCCCATCCGTCTTCCTGATGGGACTGGGACATGGCACGGCCCCCGCCAGACTGGGAGCTTCTCCAGGGCTGGGCCTGGGACCAACTCTTCATCACCGAGTTTTGAGCCTCAGGAAATGCTGATGAGATTAGATGCACGAACAGAGAGCAAGGCTGTATATCTAGGATGACGAGCGTAATTACAGTAGTAATAATGGGAACAGCTCAGGTTGATGGGGTGCGTACTGTGCCAGGCACACCTGAACCACGCAGAGCAGCATTAAATGGGACACAGTAGCTGCCCCGCTGGGAGGATTCAATGAAGCAGTGCTTGTGAAACACAGCCCGGCTCAGGCCATGCCAGGCTCTCAAAGCAGGTGCTACCCATCACTAGTGAGCCTGGCTCCACAGCCCACGCTCTGACCCACTCTCATGGCCTCCATCTAGGGCGGAGGGAGGGCAACCCACCCAGCTGTCCCTGGTTTTCTGGGGTGGGAGACAATTTGGATAAACAAAAAGAAAATAAAAGTCACCCGTAATCCCAGCACCCAGGGATGATGGCAGGGTTATGAACCATGACAATGCCCTTCTGTTAGGCACCTCCTCTGTGTGGAAGGCATGACTCACCCTCGTGGCCACTCTCCCTTTCTCTTTGTTTCCTTTTGGCCCCACCCTTGAGCGCACATGTCCGACAGCTGAAACTCATGCTCGGCCCCTGATGTGTGATTTCACTGAATCCTCAGCATGGGGACCCTATCTGACGGGTTCTCTGTTGGACCCCACACCCGGCACGGTGATACACAGTAGGTGCTCGATATGTGCACACTGCAAGACCGGTGGTAGGGGGCAGATGGGCCACACCCTGTGGGTATTAGTGGCTCCATTTCATGGATGAGGAAACTGAGTTCTGAGGGGGATGGGCTTCCCCAGGTCACACAGCCAGGGAGCATCAGAGCCAGACTCGGGCGGATCCAACTGTCGGTCTCTAACACCCCGGGATGATGGACAACTGGGTGCCTGCCCCGCCCACAGTCTCATTGCTCCTTGCAGGTGGGGACCCTGGTCCCCAGCCAAGCTCTCCCAGCTGACAGAGGGGCTCAGAAGTCAAGGATGTGTTTGTGAAAGTCCCTGCCCTCCAAGCTGCCCCCCACCTGCAGGGTCACTTACCAGTTTGAGCGAGAACTTTTGCTTCTGGGGTTCTGAGTCACAGGTGAGGACGGAGGTGGGTGCAGCTATGGGGGAACAAACAAGGGAGCGAGGTTATAACCGCAGGGAAGGTCAGGGTCATCGTCCCCAAACTTCCCAGCAATGAGGAGCGGCTCTGGTGCCCTGGTTCCAACAAGGTCAAGCGCACTCTTGGCTCTCACGACCTGCTGCTTCCTAGTTTTAAATAAGCTTCCTCTCCCTCTTTCTGTCACTATCCAGCCGTGCAGGAAGGGTTAATGCAGCAGGCTTGAGGCGGCTCTCCTGGCAAGGTCTGGGAGCCTAGATTCCGGCAGGGCTCCCAGAATCCCCTAAGTGAGTGGGGCTTGCTGAGCCTAAACTGCTTGTGCAATCACTGTGGTTTCTGTGCAACACCTTCTTTCCCCTGGGGAACCTGGAATGCGGATACATGTCAGACAGAGGGGGCCACATGAGCTCCCCAGTAACAGCTCTGGGCACTGAGCCTCTGAGGAGCTTCCTGGTGGACAGTTCCCGCGTACTGTCACAGCCTGTGGCTGGGGAATTAGGGGCGTCCCAGGCAGAGTGACCTCATCCAAGGCCACATCCCAGGGTGACCCAGGTCCAATGATTAAGGTGGACATAAAGGCCCAGCCTCTCTTGGCCCAACACGGACCCACGCTGAAGGACCACTTCTGCTCCAGAGCCCTGCAGGGTCGGCTGAGGCCATCACTGGGCTGCATCACAGCGCTGCCTCTCGCTCTGCCCCGCCTGCTTCCTTACCCTTCCCTGCAGGGCCGCCTCCCGCTCTGCCCCGCCTGCTTCCTTACCCCTCCCTGCAGCACCGCCTCCCGCTCTGCCCCGCCTGCTTCCTTACCCCCTCCCTACAGCACCGCCTCCCGCTCTGCCCCGCCTGCTTCCTTACCCTTCCCTGGGTTCTGATCCCTGAGGCAGCTCCCCATAAGCACCCCACCTGCTTGTTCCTCGACAAAGCCTGCTCCAGGAGCCCTTACTGTTCATTTACAGACCCCACCATGTCTCCGGCCCTGTGCTAAGTGTGGGCTTCACATGCATCGTCCCATCTGACAGACGAGAAGAGGAGAGAGGCCAAGAAATGCCAGGCTGACCAGGGTTCAAATCCCAGCTCCTCCCTCCACTCTCTGTGTGACTTTGGGCCTCCATTTGCATGTCTGTAACATCGGAGCAATAAGGCCTACCCGGAGACTGGCTGCAAGGACTCAACAGACAGGCAGGAGTAAGAGCGGCACCAGCGATGTGTGCAGCAAGAGTCTGCATCCCCCTGCACGCACACTGCTCGGTGAACCCGCTCAGCCCAGAGCCCAGCACGGAGCCTGGCGTGTCAGGATTGCTCCATAGGTGACAGCTTTAAAATATCCCCATAACACCAGGGCTCCGCAGCTGGGGAGTGGCAGAGCTGGCTCGACCTGGGTCTCGCTATCCCAAAGCCCGTGAGCTGAGCTACTGTCGCCTGCGCACCCTGACTCATGCTGGTGTCCCTCCTTCCTCTGTTCTCATTGTTCCCACCCTCCCTTCACCATCGAGGCTGGTATCATCTCAGACACTGGGCTGAAGGACAAGGGGGTGACAAAGTCACCAAGAAGCCGTCCTTGCCCTCAAGAATCTCCAGCTGCAACAGGGTTGGGAGCCAGCTCTACACGTTCAAGGCCAAGGGTGCTCTGAGCCCAGGGGAAGAGAGAGAGACTTATGCAGGACCCACATCTTGGGGAAAGAAAGGTCCTTTCCAGCTGTGGGGAGATCCTTTACATTGGGGGGATCATGCTGGAGCAGGCTGTGACATCATGACCAAGCATCTGCCCCTGTCTGGAAGCCAGGCACAGGAACAGTGCCTGTCTCTCACAGGCACCATGAGGTCAATGACGACGCGTACATGCCTGGCACTCAGAGCACCAGTGAGGTCAATGACGACAGACATGCCTGGGCACTCAGAGGCACCAGAGGTCAATGACGACGCAGACATGCCTGGCACTCAGAGGCACCATGGAGGACAATGACACGCGCATATGCCTGGCACTCAGAGGCACCATGAGGTCAATGATACCCACGGGTACATGCCTTGGCACTGAGGGACCATGAGGCTCACGACGACGCGCACATGCCTGGCACTCAGAGGGACCATGAGGTCAATGACGACGCGTACATGCCTGGCACTCAGAGGCACCAAGGAGGTCAATGACGACGCATACATGCCTGGCACTCAGAGGACTATGAGGTCAATGATTTACGCGTACATGCCTGGCACTCAGAGGGACCATGAGGTCAATGACGACGTCAGCGACGCGTACATGCCTGGCACTCAGAGGGACCATGAGGTCAATGACGATGCGTACATGCCTGGCACTCAGAGGCAGGCAGGAAAAGCTTGCAATTTGATACAAATTTCCTGCACTGCTTTGCAGACTATAGAAAGCTTTCCTCTTTAATTTTTCTAACTGGCCCTGCTGCCAACAGCCTGGAAAGCTAGCTGGGCAATTTCCAATGTAGAGGGAGTCAAGGGAGGCCAGAAGGGAAAAAGGGCTTGGCCAAGGGCCCCAACAGAGACGGGCCACAAGCCCAGGGCTCTAGACTCTGTGATCTGGGGTGGCAGATCCAGGTTTCTGCCCAGCCCCACCCCCAACTATGATGAAACACCTGGCCAGTCTCCTTTCCTCACTCTCAAGGCATCTCAGATCTGCGTGGGAGGCCTGCCTGCTCTCCGCAGAGCCCCCCATTATGTAAGCAATAAACCTCTCCTGTCCTCTTGGTGTGTGTGTGACGTTATCAGCCTCGATGTTTCAACCAAATCTTAGGTGGGGATCCATCCTCTCTCTGCATACTGGCCAGAACAATCATCCTTAGCACACAGCCCCTGGGCCTCCCACATGCCAACAGCAGGCGGGCTGAGAAGGGGCACACCTCACACAGGGCACATGCCTTCCAACTGGCCACAGTCCCCACCACGCCCAACTGCCTTACTCCAGCCTGCTGCACTCATTCCCACTGTTGCCCGGCCCTGCAGGTGGGTAGGCGTAGAGTCCTAGGTCTAAGAGAAAGTTGCCTAGCGGCAGGTCTGCAGCTAGGGACGTGACTTCCATTCCCATTCTCAGGAAGGGGTCCCCTCCCACTGTCCTGGTGCTGAGACGACCCAGTCCCTGGCCGCCCATGGACAGAGCGTACCTTCATAGAGAATGCCCTGGTCGTCCCTGGTCTGGAGGAACTTCAGCTTCCACTGTCGCCCACTCTTGTCTGTCAGCACTGTCCCTGTGGGCAAAGCTTCAAGTGAGGTGGTCACCCGGCTCCGCTTCAGTGTCTGAGGACTCCGCTTCAGTGTCTGAGGGCTGCAGCTGGTCTTCTGAGGGCTCTGCTTGGTCTTCTGAGGGCTGCAGCTGGTCTTCTGAGGGCTCTTCCTGGTCTTCTGAGGGCTGCTTTTGGGGGTTGGGGGTCTGCTCCCGGAGCCTGCAGGAGGATGGTAAGAATAAAGCAAAAGCACCATCCAGGAGAGAAAAGTTGGATGAGGAGTGAAACAGTACGCAAACTACTATTCCTTTATGAATTAGTTCATTCAACAAACACTTCCTTGGACCTTCTATGAGTCAGGCCTTTGAGTGATGACACTGGGGTACAAGATAGGAGTCGGACCTGCATCCTTCCCTCAGGAGTGCCCAGTTTGGTGGGCAAGTCTACTCTAGATACAGCCAGTCAGATGCGGGTCTGAGACAGGGCAGCACAGACAGATATTAGGGCCCAAAAGAGAAAAAGATCCTGCCTGGAGAAGTCAGGGTAGGCTTCCTGGAGGAAGGGATGTTAGAGTTGGGTCTTGTTGGATGAGTAGAAGTTTGCCAGGGAAAAAAGGACATTCTAGACATTTACGCAAAAACATCCTGAAAAAGGACTCAGTCCTGAGATAGAAAGGGGCCAAAAAATTTGTTACACCAAAGCCCTGCCCTGGAAAAGTACCTAGACTGGCAAAAGAATGGGGCAGGTGTGGTGGCAGACAGATTTGGACACAGGAAAAGACATCGTTTACTCCGTTCCTCCCACCCACCATCCCCTAAAGGCAAGTAATGGCAAGAGGCCTCCGGGCTCAGAGGATAATAAGGAGCAAAGGGGACACCTCACACTGCCACTGTGGCTGTGGCTTCAGATCCAGGGGCCCAGCGAACAGAAGGAACACAGTCCTCAGGCCTCCCGTGTCCTGGGCACTGGCTAGGCACAGGGAATATACACAAGTTATGCTGGGTCCTTGCCCGCAAAGGGCCCCCAGTCCAGAAAGTGAGGCAGAAAGGCCTGTGGAGCCTAGAGTGACACGCACTCCAATGAAGGCTGCAGCAGGCATGGGGGGTGCCAGACAAAGAGGCTGGAAAGAGGCTCTGGTGGACGATGAGGAGGTCTGGATGCGAGCCTACGGCACTCAAGAGAAGCTTCCTAGAGACCAGACCGGCTGAGTGGCAGTACACAAGGCCAAGACGGAAGGTGAGAGTGTCCTGGGCTGAGGGAACAGGCTTAGCAAAGACCAAGGTTAATCCCCAAAAGTGTTTTCTGGGCAAAGACTATGTTGAGGGCTAAAGCAGGAACCAGACCACACAGATGCCAGACTGAAGAGCTTGGTCTCAGGGCACCAGGAACAGTAGGAGGCTGTGTGCAGGGAGAGGCCAGGGCAGCTCTGGGTGCTAAAAGACCCATCTGGGGCCATTCAGAGGCAGACTGGAGGGGGAGATGGGAAGCTGGAGTCAGAGAACAGGCAGGGATGGATGATGTTTGAGCCAGGATTGTGGCAGTTTTGTCCCAAAGATCATTAGACAACCCAACTTTGCTCCACTTAGAGTCAGGCCAGATGGACCTTAACTCTTACCTTTGGATCTCTCAGAGGAACTCAGAGTATCTTCAGACTCAGAACTGTCACCATCTGAGAAGAGGGACAATCGGGGAGAGGTGACAGTGCTGGACCATTTCACTTTCTTAGGAGAGGTTTCAAAACTGGAGTTCAGCCCTCTCTTTGAGCCTAAAGAAAGGCAGACAAAATGCAGACTGGAGTTACAAAGGCCCCTTTGCAGGCTCCACTGGACTGGGAGCCCTGAGGTTATATTCAGCTATGCTCTTCTCTTTGGCCCTCAACATCAATTCTTGCTTCTTCTATCACATAAATATCTAAGTAAACTGTTCCTTTTAGTTGTTCTCACCTTCTTAGGTCTTAGCCTCTCTTGTATCTTCCAGCATTTTGCCACTCTGTGTCCTTTCTACATAATTTCTTTATATGTACGTATATTTGAGATGGAGTCTCACTCTGTTGCCCAGGCTGGAGTGCAGTGGTACGATCTTGGCTCATTGCAACCTCTGCCTCCTGGGTTCAAGCAATTCTCCTGCCTCAGCCTCCCAAGTAGCTGGGATTACAGGCATGCATCAACACACTCAGCTAATTTTTATAGTTTTAGTAGAGATGGGGTTTCACCATGTTGGCCAGACTGGTCTTGAACTCCTGACCGCAAGTGATCCACCAGCCTCAGTCTTCCAAAGTGTTGGGATTATAGGCATGAGCCACCATGCCCAGCCTCTTCCATGTAATTTCTTAAAATTTATCTTCCAGTTAACTAATTCTCCCTTCAGCTATGTCTAGTCTGCTGTTTTAACTACCCACTGAGGTTCTGATTACAATGATTATATATACATATACACACACACACACACACATATATACACACACACACACATACATATACATACATACAACTGCGTATATATACACACGTACATATATACACATAGACACATACATATACATATATACACATACAATCATTAGAGTTTTTATATGGTTCCTTCTCTTATTTGCCTGTGCAACTTTAACCTATTCCTTCATTATACTTTCAATTTGTTATTTTATTTATTTAAACGTATTAAGCATATTTTGTAAACATTCTCATCTATTAATTTTAAGGTCTGTGGTCTTGGCAGGTCTGATTCTGTAGTTTGCTGTTTCTGCTGACTCTCAGGCTAGCTTATTTCCAGGTGTCTTTGTAAATCAACAGAGACTGGTGCTTATGTTCCTTGGACATTGACCTGTGGTAATTCCCTAAGGTTTGTCTTTAAAGGATGTTTTCCAAGAGAAGATTTGTTTATATCAGGCAGGGAGTGGTACCCACATCTCACCACTTTAAATTAAATGTTCAGCTTGCATTTTGGGGGACCACACAGATCAGTGTGAATTCTGGCCCCAAACTGGTGAGAATGTAAATTCTTGATTAGGAATTCTCAAAGAAGGCTGGGCGTGGCGGCTCATGCCTGTAATCCCAGCACTTTGGGAGGCTGGGGCGGGTGGATCGCCCGAGGTCAGGAGTTTGAGGCCAGCCTGTCCAACACGGTGAAACCCTGTCTCTACTAAAAATATAAAAATTAGCTGGGTGTGGTGGCAGGTGCCTGTAAACTCAGCTACTTGAGAAGCTGAGGCAGGAGAATCGCTTGAACATGGAAGGTGGAGGTTGCAGTGAGCCAAGATTACACCACTGCACTCTAGCCTGGGTGACAGAGCAAGACTGTCTCAAAAAAAAGGAATTATCAAAGAAGACATTCCTCCTTTTTTTTACCCACCACCAAGGCTGACCAATGTCTCCACCAATTTTCTCAGTGGAACGATGACTTTTGCTGTAGTTCAGCCACTGAGGAGCCCCTGATTTAAGAGGAGGTTAGGAAACATGTCCTTTCTTTTTAGTTGACACTGACTAACTCAGCCAGCATGGTTGGTCCCTGGGCTACTGGAATGGCCTCCTAACTGGTTTCCACGCCTCGAATCCATTTTTCACAAAGAGAAGCCACAGAAGTCTTTCCAAAATGCAAAGCCTATCGTGTTGCCTACTTGGCAGAAGCTCTTCCGCAGCTCTCCACGTCACCAACGGTTAAAACCAAACTCCTTCCCGTGGCCCTGCCTGTCTTCCCCCAGGCAGAAATGTTCCTTACTCCTCCACTGTGCCTGGCTCCCTTCACCTCACATCTGCTCCCCATATCACGTCCCAGTGCCTGGAACACATGTGCCAACTCCCACCTTGCTCATTCTTCTTTTTTTTTTGAGATGGAGTTTTGCTCTTGTTGCCCAGGCTGGAGTGCCATGGCACAATCTCGGCTCACTGCAACCTCTTCCTCCCGGGTTCAAGCAATTCTCCTGCCTCAGCCTCCCAAGTGAGTAGCTGGGACTACAGGCACGCACCACCTCGCCCGGCTAATTTTCTATTTTTAGTAGAGATGGGGTTTCTCCATGTTGGTGAGGCTGGTCTCAAACTCCCGACCTCAGGTGATCAGGCTACCTCAGCCTCACAAAATGCTGGGATTACAGTTGTGAGCCACTGTGCCCAGCCCATTCTTTTTCATCCCTAGCTCAGTTCAAACTTTACCCACTTAGGGAGGTTTTCCCTGATCCCCTGAAAAACATGTTCCCTTATATGTGTTCCAGGGTCCATTCAGTTCCCCTCTGTTATCATGCAACCTACTGATAATCATTTACTCAATGTCTGTCACCTTACTGAGCTGTAAAAACTATGAGAGAACAGAAACCATGGCTGTCTCGTTTCTTACCATAATCCTCAGGACAAATATAGCACCTCAGCACATGGCCGGTCACTCACACATATTTGCCATCTGATGACTGAGGGAGTGAATAACGAACTGGGCTCTAGGTCAGCATTAGGAAAGGCAGAGGTTGGGTTAAGAACTGACTCTGGCCGGGCACGGTGGCTCATGCCTATAATCCCAACACTTTTGGGAGGCCAGATGGGTGCATCGCCTGAGGTCAGGAGTTCAAGACCAGCCTGGGCAACATTGTAAAACCCGGTTTCTACTAAAAATACAAAAATTAGCCAGGTGTGGTGTTGCACGGTTGTAATACCAGCTACTAGGGAGGCTGAGGAAGGAGAATAGCTTGAACCTGGGAGGTGGAGGTTGCAGTGAGCCGAGATTGTGCTGCCATACTCCAGCCTGGGTGACAGAGCAAGATTCTGTCTTAAAAAAACAAAGGCCGGGTGCAGTGGCTCACGCCTGTAATCCCAGCACTTTGGGAGGCAGGCAGGCGGATCACGAGGTCAGGAGATGGAGACCATCCTGACTAACACAGTAAAACCCCGTTTCTACTAAAAATACAAAAAATTAGCCGGGCGTGGTGGCGAGTGCCTGTAGTCCCAGCTACTCAGGAGGCTGAGGCAGGAGAATGGCGTGAACCCGGGAGGTGGAACTTGCAGTGAGCCAAGATCGCGCCACTGCACTCCAGCCTGTGCGACAGAGCAAGACTCCGTCTCAAACAAAACAAAACAAAACAAAACACAACAAAAAAAACCACTCTGACTCTCAAGTTGGGCCAAGGCCAACGCTGTTCACATTTGCCTGGAACTGTGGAGATGAAGAAGTCAACTTGAGACCTCAAGGCAGTAAGCATGGGAACAAAAGCTATATGCTAAGGATGGCTCAGTGGAAAAACAGAGGAGCCTGGGTCCCTTAGGGCATCGTGGGGACACCATCCCAACACTTACTGTCTCCTTTTTTCAGTAAGAAAAATACTGCTCTACATACTTGCCAGTAAAAGAAAAATAAACCTAATCATTTGTTTAAACCCTTGTCATAGCATTTTCTGTTATTTGCAGCTAAATATATTCCCAAATGATAAAATGAATGTCACTCAACTCCCCGCCATGTATGCTGACTGCCTTCTGCACAACTGTCCGATGGGTAAACCCTCTTTGATTTACCAATATTGTATCTGGGCTTGGGCCTTCCAGTGAGCAAGACCGACTATTGATATTTAATTCATTCAACCAGTCAGTAAGATTTCTCAACACCTGATACCGTGCCAGGCACAGACCCAGGTGCTGTGCTAACAGCAGGTTACAAAACCAGAATCAACACAGGTTACAGAAACACAAAAAGTTTCTGTCCTCATGGAGCTTACAGAAGAAGCAATATAAGTAAAATACTGTATTTAATAGGGTTGAGACAAGTACCAAAAACAAATACACAGCAAGGAAGGGGGACAGGATCACTGCATAGAGGGAAGATGCAACTTTAATTAGTAGTGGCAGTGAAAGTGTCTCTGAGAAAGTGACAACTGAATAAATACCTGAAGGCATGGATGGGCGCAGTGGCTCACGTAATCCCAACACTTTGGGAGGCCGAGGCTGGTGGCTCACTTCAGGCCAGGAGTTCAAGACCAGCCTGGCCAACATGGTGAAACCCCATCTCTACTGAAAATACAAAAATGAGCCGGGCGTGGTGGTACATACCTGTGATCCCAGCTACTCAGGAGCCTGAGGCACAAGAATCACTTAAACCTGGGAGGTGGAGGTTGCAGTGAGCTGAGATTGTGCCACTGTACCCCAGCCTGGGTGACAAAGCCAGACTCAGTCTCAAAAACAAAAACAAAAACAACAAAAAACAAAACCTGAAGGCAGTGACAGAGTGGGGCATGCAGGCCCATAAGGGAAGAGGCATCCAGGAGGGAGCGGCAAGCGCACAGGCTGAGGCCCAGGCATGCTGAGGCGTGGAGGGGCAGCCGGGAGGCCGGTGCAGCTGGAACAGCACAGGCAACAGCAGGAGGGTCGGGAGGTGGAGTCTGAGGGGAAATGGGGACCTGGTCCTGTCGCCTCACATGGGAAAGTATGAGCAGAGGAATGACGGGCTCTGACTGTATTCATAGGATCCCTCTGGCGGCTGTATGAAGACGACTACAGGGACAAGAGAGAGGAGCCGAGGGCAAAAAGGCTTCTGCACAAGAGAGGTGAGGGCAAGGGATGTGGGAGGTGAGGGCAACGGATGTGGGAGGTGCGGGGAAGGAAGTGGGCTGATACTGCACTGATTGTAAAGAGGGAGCCAACAAGATTTGCTGAAGGGGTGGGCGGGTCAAGGGGCTGGTGACAAAGAGAACTCATGGATGACCCCCAGGGTCCGGCCTGAGAAACTGGATGGAGGGCTATTCTTGGCAATGGGGAAGTCTATGGCAGGGCAGGCGGCACGAACACCAGGGGCTCAGGTGAAGGCAAGTTCAGACTGAGATGTGATCAGGACATCCAACACAGGTTAAGCATCCCAAATCCAGAAATCTGAAATGCAAAATGCTCCAAAATCTGAAACTTTGAGTGCCAACAGGATGCTCAAAGGAAATTTCACTGGGTTACTGTGGAGTTCAGATTTTTTTTTTCTTTTCTTTTTTTTTAATCGAGTCTCACTCTGCTGCCCAGGCTGCAGTGCAGTGGCGTAATCTCGGCTCGCTGCGACCTCCGCCTCCTGGGTTCAAGTGATTCTCCTGCCTCAGACTCCCAAGTAGGTGGGATTACAGGTGTGCGTCACTATGCCAGCTAATTTTTGTATTTTTAGTAGAGATGGGATTTCAGGATGTTGGCCAGGCTGGTCTCGAACTCCTGACCTCAAGTGCTCTGCCTGCCTCAGCCTCCCAAAGTGCTAGGATTACAGGTATGAGCCACTGTGCCCAGCCAGATTTCAGATTTTTGAATCAGGATGCTCAACCAGTAAGTATAATGCAAATATTCCAAAATCTGAAAAAATCCAAAATGAGAACACTTCCGGTCCCCAACATTTCGGATAAGGGATACTCAACCTGCAGGTGCCAAGCAGGCAGGCTGCACATATATCTCCTCCAAGCAGGGGAGTCCAGGCTGGCTGGAGATAGAAATGAAGGAATTGTTAACATGGAAACAGTGTCCAAAGCCATGAGGCCAATAAGAGGCCAAGGGACTGAGGGTAGGCAGAGGGGTCCAGTCCTGAGGCCTGGGCTTCTCCAGTATCAGGACAGGGTCAGACAGGCTGCAAAGGCATCCTCCCTCCGCACCTCCCCAGACACACACGTGCATGCACCTCATCCCCACTGCAGAAATGGGCTCAAAGCTCTGGTTCTTACCTCGGAAGGATGACACACGCGAACTGACAGGGGTTTCGGACCCCACATGCTCCTCCTCTGTGGGCAGAGAATTTCCACAGTAGGGGCAGAACTTGAATGCCGCTTGGATACTTTTGCCACAGTCTGGACAGAAGGAGATCATGCTACAAAACAGAATGAACACATACAAAGTCAAACGGGCTGGCTGAAGCTCAGTGGAAGTATTGTTGGAGAACTGCTCTTAATCACAGGGTGAGTGTGCAGGAGGCATAGCCAGGGTCTTCAACTATGTTTGTGACGTTCACTTTTTTTTTTTTTTTTTGAGACGGAGTCTCGCTCTGTCACCCAGGCTGGAGTGCAGTGGCTGGATCTCAGCTCACTGCAAGCTCCGCCTCCCGGGTTTACGCCATTCTCCTGCCTCAGCCTCCCGAGTAGCTGGGACTACAGGCGCCCGCCACCTCGCCCGGCTAGTTTTTTTTTGTATTTTTTAGTAGAGACGGGGTTTCACTAAGTTAGCCAGGATGGTCTCGATCTCCTGACCTCGTGATCCACCCGTCTCGGCCTCCCAAAGTGCTGGGATTACAGGTGTGGGCCATCACGCCCGGCCACAACTGACTAATTTTTAAATTTTTTTTTTTTGTAGAGACGGTGTCTTACTATGTTGCCCAGGCTGGTCTGGAACTCCTGGCCTCCAGCAACCTTCCTGCCTCAGCCTCCCAAAGTGCTGGGATTACAAGCATGAGCTACCATCCTGGTTGCAAGAGACCATTCTGATCAAACCCTTTTCCTTCATTCACTGTAAAGGCTGGCTTCGTTGCAAATGCAAACAGTGGGGTCCTTAAAATCACAGGTTTGGCCCCAGGCTGCCAGATTTCAATCCCAGATCCGCTACATGCTGGGCAAGCTACTTAACCTCTCTGTGCCACAGTCCACCCCATTGTAAAAGAGGGCTTCTCCCAGCACCTATCTCATAGAATGGTTGATGAGGTCTAAATGAATATGAGGTGCTGAGAACAGGGCCTGGCCCACAGAAAGCCTTTTATGTGAGTGCTTGCTGTGACCATATCATGCCTTGTACCCAAGTTACTATATTCCAGTCATTAATATTTCTCTTCTTCTCCTTCTTCTTCGATAGGAAGTTCTGAGCTTCTCAGGCCTGTCTATTTCCTCTAGGTACTAACTTCTGAAATTCTAGAGCTTGTCCTTAAAAACCATAGGCCAGGCCGGGCGCGGTGGCTCAAGCCTGTAATCCCAGCACTTTGGGAGACCGAGACGGGCGGATCACGAGGTCAGGAGATCGAGACCATCTTGGCTAGCACGGTGAAACCCTGTCTCTACTAAAAAATACAAAAAACTAGCCGGGCGAGGTGGCGGGCGCTTGTAGTCCCAGCTACTCGGGAGGCTGAGGCAGGAGAATGGCGTAAACCTGGGAGGTGGAGCTTGCAGTGAGCTGAGATCCGGCCACTGCACTCCAGCCTGGGAGACAGAGCGAGACTCCGTCTCAAAAAAAACAAAACAAAACAAAACAAAAAAAACCAAAAACCATAGGCCATTCCATCAGCTGGTGAAATAAATCTCAGTCACATGGGGAGAGAACAGGTCCTGGATTCCTCTTCCTCAGGCTGCAGAAGAACAGAAACACTCTGGGGCATACATCTGCCCTTCTGTTGTTCAAACAAAGGAGTTGTATAAGACATCTGGACTGCAAAGGCTGTCGGTCAAGTATCTTTTACCCTCTAGAAAGCCAGTCATTCTGAGTGGTTGTCCAACTCAGTGATTTGTCGTCCTGCTAATAATATGTAAAAGAACATCTCTGTCTTCTCAAAGGCATAAATACCAGTGAGCATTTTTGTTAGGGTAGAGGTCTCACTGCCTCTTCCCTCTCCCCCAGGCACACCTGGGTGTCTGACACTGGTGTCACAAGACCAAATTGCCTAGATGTACCCAATAAATATATACACCTACTATGTACCCCGGTAAATTAAAAATTAAAAAAACAATTTTTTTTTTTTTTGAGATGGAGTCTCTCTCTGCCACCCAGGCTGGAGAGCAGTCGTGCGATCTCAGCTCACTGCAAGCTCCGCCTCTTGGGTTCAAGCGATTCTCCTGCCTCAGTCTCCCGAATAGCTGGGATTACAGGCGTGAGCCACCATGTCTGGCTAATTAAAAAAATATATATATTTTGGCCGGGTGCGGTGGCTCACGCCTGTAATCCCAGCACTTTGGGAGGCTGAGGTGGGCGGATCACAAGGTCAGGAGCTCGAGATCATCCTGGCTAACACGGTGAAACCCCGTCTCTACTAAAAAATACAAAAAATTAACCGGGTGTGGTGGTGGGCGCCTGTAGTCCCAGCTACTCGGGAGGCTGAGGCAGGAGAATGGCATGAACCCGGGAAGCGGAGCTTGCAGTGAGCTGAGATCATGCCACTGCACTCCAGCTTGGGCGACAGAGCAAGACTCTGTCTCAAAAAAAAAAATATATATGTATACACATACACACACACACACACACACGTGTGTATATATATAGTAAAAAAAAGAAAAAATAGCCAGTCATGGTGGCACATACCTGTAGTCCCAGATACTTGGGAGGCTGAGGTGAGAGGATGGCTTGAGCCCAAGAGCTCAAGGCTGCAGTGAGCCACGATTACGCCATTGCACTCCAGCCTGAGTGACAGGCTGTGCCAATATTTGGAGTGCAAATATATATTACATATATATTTATATACACATAAACAACACATTATATATATACACATTATTAAACTGCATAGAGGCTGGTGCCTGGAAAGTTGTATTAGTGAGAAGTCATGTGTGATTGTGTGAAACCACTAAGATTTAGAAGTCGCTTGTTACTGAAGCCTCGCCAGTCAGACTCTGCTACACTTTTCTATTTTCTAGCAACAGGGTCCCACCCTGTCACTCAGGCTGGAGTGCAATGGCATGATCATGGCTCACTGCAGCCTTGAGTTCTTGGGCTCAAGCCATCCTCTCACCTCAGCCTCCCAAGTTATCTGGGACTACAGGCATGTGCCACCATGACTGGCTTTTTTTTTTTTTGAGACAGAGTCTTGCTCTGTCGCCCAGGCTGGAGTGCAGTGGCACGATCTCAGCTCCCTGCAAGCTCTGCCTCCCGGGTTTACACCATTCTTCTAACTCAGCCTCCCGAGTAGCTGGGACTACAGGTGCCCGCCACCTCGCCCAGCTAGGTTTTTTTTTGTATTTTTTAGTAGAGACGGGGTTTCACTGTGTTAGCCAGGATGGTCTCGATCCCCTGACCTCTTGATCCGCCTGTCTCGGCCTCCCAAAGTGCTGGGACTACAGGGTTGAGCCACTGCGCACGGCCTCTTTTTTTTTTTTTTTTTTTAACTTTTTGTAGAGATGGTGTCTTGCTATGTTGCCCTGGTCTCGAACTCCTGAGCTCAATCTTTCTTCCTTGGCTTCCCAAAGTGTTGGGATTACAGGTGTGGGCCACCATGCCTAGATTTCTTATGTGAACAAAGGGTTTGTTTAGATATCTGTGATGGTTTGTTTTATTTATTTATTTATTTTGAGACAGAGTTTCACTCTGTCACCCAGGCTGGAGTGCAGTGGCGCGATCTTGGCTCACTGCAACCTCCGTCTCCCAGGTTCAAGTGATTTTCCTGTCAGTGTCCTGTGTGGCTGGGACTACAGGTGTGCCCTACCACACCCAGTTAATTTTTTTTTCTTTTTTGAGATGGAGTTCTGCTGTTGTTGCCCAGGCTGGAGTGCAGTGGTGCGGTCTCGGCTCACTGCAACCTCTGCCTCCTAGGTTCAAGCGATTCTCCTGCCTCAGCATCCTGAGTAGCTGGGACTACAGGTACGCGCCACCACACCTAGCTAATTTTTATATACAAGTATGCGCCACCACACCCAGCTAATTTTTACATTTTTAGTACAGATGGGGTTTCACCATGTTGGCTGGGATGGTCTGGAACTCCTGACCTCAAGTGATCCACCTGCCTCAGCCTCCCAAAGTGCCGGAATTACAGGTGCGAGCCTCCACACCTGGCAGAAATCTGTGACAGTTTTAAATGGCTTCATGTTACATAGAATTTCCCCAGATGCTGGTTGCCCTCCGGGAAAGATGCCTCCAGGACGCAGCAAGTGCCTAAGCAGGCAAGCCCTGCCATACCCACCACAATGTTCTTTCTGGGAGTAAAGCTGGCCAGCAGCAACCCAGAGGAGACAAGCAGGAGCCAGCTGCTGGTGGGAAAAAGGAAAAAGGCCTTGAGAGGCTATGCCCAAGGGATAATACCTTTATGAGGTCACGGTCTGGCCCTTGGATTTACTGGGCTGGAAACTCCATTTTGACAGCGACCTGTAAGTGAACAAAAGTGGAGTGGCTGACTCATGCTTTCACACAGAAAGGAAAGATAATAGCTAATGTTTATTGAGCACTGGTCATGTCACCAGCATGTGCCAAATCCATTCGTTCGTTTATTCACTCATTCATTCACTCGATAATTATTCACTGAGTTTCCTGTTTATGCCGGTCACTGGGGAAACAGCAGCGAAGGAAACAACCCAGCCCCTGCCTTCAGGATGCTCAAGTTCTGGTGGGGAAGAGAAGCTAACAAACAAATGAGCAAGGAACCGCTGAGCAGGTCAGATGGAGAAAGTGCTATGGAGGACAATAAAGTACCACAGAAGAAAACAGGATGCCACAGAGGTTGATGGGTCACTATTCACACAGGGTGGCCAAGGAGGGACTCACCCAGAGGGAGGCATCTGAGCTGAGACCCAAAGGAAACCAGGGAGCGAGTTGTCAATATCTGGGAAGGCGTCCTCCAGGCAGAGAGCTTTCTATGCATTATCCTATTTAGTCTATACAACAGCCCAGGACGCCGGTTCCAGAATGATCACCACTTCATAGGAGAGTATGGCACTCGTTTTTCCAAAGCAGGTCACAGCAATATTTCTGGTCCTGTGTGCTCTTTGGAACCTTGTAACCTCTCTTCCCAGGAGTCCGGGTCTCTGTTCCTCCCCCTTTGGAGCTGGGCAGAGCTGTGACTGCTCCTACCAACAGAGGACTGGCAGCAGTAAGGCCATGAGACTTCCAAGTCTGGGTCACAAAAAACAACTTGGCTGGCTCACTCAGGATGCTCACCCATGGAAGCCAGTTTCCATGGCATGAGGCAGCCTAAAGTAGCCCAGGCAGAGAAACCACATGGAGAGGCTCAGGTGGAGAGGAACTGAGGCCTACGGCCAACAGCCAGCACCAGCTGCTGGGTGAGCGGGCAAGTCCTCAGACCACTTAAATCCCAGCCTTCAAATCTTCCTGCTAAGGCACAGGCATTGGGGAGCAGAAACAGGCCACTCTGCTGTGCTCACTCTGAATTCCCGGCCCACAGGATCCATGGGCACAAGAAATGGCGGTTCTACACCAGTAAATTGTGGGATAATTTTTTCCTAGACACAGCAACCAGAACAGAGAGACCCTGCTGCACAGAGGTTAAGTCACTGAAGACAGTTCTCATTTCATGACAGTTCAGTATGTGCAGATCACTGTGCTAAGTTCTTGGGAGGTATTATCTACAGAACCTTCCCAATCACCCTTTTCAAGGTAAGAATGATTTCCCCTTTGGGGAGATGAGAAGCAGAGGCTCAGGGAGAAAACGACTTGCCCAGGGCCACACAGCTCTTAAGTGGCAAGCCAGACACATGATTTTGTTTAATCTTCCCCTCCATTCTATGAGGTAGGGATAATCATCCCACCTTTGAAACCTGCAAAATGATGCTCAAAGGGTGACAATTCTCCTTCCCCCAGACCTGACTCCACTCACCTAGAAAACAGTGGGGACGCAGCTGGAATCCAGAACCTAAAAGCCCATGTTCTTAACCTGGTGCCAGTTCACACAACGAAAACGCAAAACCGGACTGGGACCTTGGGGCAGCAGGTCAGAACATTCTTGTAGATTTAAATCTGGAAGCTGATGTTGGGTGTGGAATCAGGGTAAGAGAGTCTTTTAACTATGTGCCATCCCCGGTTCTGACACCGTCACCAGCCTGGTCTAGGCCACCATCTCTCCCTTGTGCTACTGCAGCAGCTTCCGAACTAGACTTCCAGCTTCTACGCTTGTCCCTACATTGATTTTCAACCCAGTAGCTAGAGGGGTCCACTTAAAATCTAAGTCAGACCCTGCCCCTGTCAGACCCTGGCCCATATGGTGGGTCGGACACGGTGGCTCACGCCTGTAATCCCAGCACTTTGGGAGGCCGAGGTGGGCGGATCACGTGAGGTCAGGGGTTCCAGACCAGCCTGGACACCATGGTGAAACCCCGTCTCTACTAAAAACACACACACACACATCAGCCGGGTGTGGTGACAGGCACCTGTAATCCCAGTTACTTGGGAGGCTGAGGCATGAGAGTCGCTTGAATCCAGGAGGCAGAGGTTGCAGTGAGCCAAGGTCGCACTGCTGCACTCCAGCCTGGGCGACAGAGCGAGGCTCAGTCTCATAAACAAACAAATACATTAAAAAAAATGTAAGTCAGTCCCTGTCCCTCCTCTACTCAAAACCATATGGTGGATTTCATTTTAGACAGAATCAACGCCAAAATTCCTACCATGGCCCAGGAGCCCCTGTATGATCTGCCACTTCCCTGTTCCCTCCCTGACCTCTCCCACCATCTTGCCTTGCTCACACTGAGTCAGCCACACTGGCTTCGGTGCTTTTCCCCAATTGTGACAAGAACGTTTCTTCCCCAAGACCTTTGCACCTGCTCTCCCATCTGCCTGGAACACTGCCCCCACAAGAGTGCACACACGTCACTTCCTCATCACCTTCTTTAGCTCTCTGTTCAAATGTCACCTTCTCAGAGATCTTCTTGGACACGATTTTACTGTGTTTTTTCTTTTCTTTTTTTTGAGATGGAGTTTCGCTCTTTTGGCCCAGGCTGGAGTGCAATGGTACGATCCTGGCTTACTGCAACCTCTGCCTCCTGGGTTCAAGTGATTCTCCTGCCTCAGCCTCCCATGTAGCTGGGATTATAGGTGCGTGCCACCACGCCTGGCTAATTTTGTATTTTTACTAGAGATGGGGTTTCACCATGTTGGCCAGGTTGGCCTTGAACTCCTGACCTCGGGTGATCCCCCCCGCCTCGGCCTCCCAAAGTCCTGGGATTACAGGCTTGAGCGACCGTTCCTGGCCCTGGACACCATTTTACTAATAGCGTGTTTTATCCTCCTTACCTTGCCTTATTTTTCTTCACAGTGGTTGTCACCACCTGACATACTCTGAGTTACTAGAATGTAAGCTTCATAATGGCAGGGACTTTTCCCTGTCTGGTTTGCCATAGTATGCCCAGAGCCTCACACAGGCCTGGCACAGAGCAAATGCTGGGTCTACGTTTGCTGAGTGAATAAATCATTGTCTCCTTTGCAGAAGAAAACGTGCCAAGAAGGCAGGGGGGTCCCCAGCTGTGTCACACACATTCATCTTTCAGGCAAGTCTAGACATCTAGCCAGAGACTCAAAGCTCAGGGCCAGAATTATCTAGCTGGATGGTCCTTAAAAAAGACCTGCCACTTAGAAACAGATCTGTGTAGGGGTTAAGAGGATAAACTTGGGACATAATCTGCCTGGGTCTGGATCTTGCTTCTGCCATGTATTACATGATGGTGGGCAAAAAACAGATATTATTTTTTCCCTTTGGGACAGAGTTTTGCTATATCACCCAGGTTGGAGTGCAGTGGCACGATCTCAGCTCACTTGCAACCTCCACTTCCTGGATTCAAGCGATTCTCCCTGCCTCAACCTCCTGAGTAGCTGGGATTACAGGTGCATGCCGCCATGCCCGGCTAATTTTTTAATTTTTAGTAGAGATGGGGTTTCACCATGTTGGCCAGGCTGGTCTTGAACTCCTGACCCCAGGTGATCTGCCCGCCTCGGTCTCCTAAAGTGCTGCGATTACAGGCGGGAGCCAGCATGCCCAGTCAAATTTTTTGGATTTTAGAACCTATTACATATTACAACACCGGCGAGATCCAGGGGCAACTCTCCATAAGCAACTATATGATTTGCACAACAAAATCTTTAAAAATTCTAAATAGTCACACATCAGTTCAGGGTGGGTACTGCCAGCAAACAAGTTCAAAGCCAGGTGAGGCTGGGCTACCAGGTAAGTTGCAAAACAGAGAAAAAGATCTTTCAGTTTTTACAACGTTTTGGATTTTAAAGTCATAGATAAAGGATTGCAGACCTGTAAATATTCTTTAACATTTCTTTTTTAGTGTCTGGCATGCCCAACCACCCTGAAAATGTGAATTAGCTGGGCAGGATTTTTTAGACACTGCTATAATAACGTGGGCTTGAGCATTGCCTATTAGACTAGCACCGTTCAAGCCCCGGTTATATTAGGGTAATATCGGTTGCACGGAGCCTTCCATATAGTAAACACTCAGTAAAAGTGGATGTGCTGAAGTCACCTATGCAATGGCCAGGTCAGGACTTGAAAGCCCAAGACTCCAACTCTCAGGCCAGTCTTTATCTTAATTTATTTGACTTACTCAACAAATGTTTAGTGAACAGCTGCTATGTGTCAACTACTGTATAGTGTTCCTCCTAGAAACTTCAGGAGACAACAGCAAAAAGGCTAAAGGTCAGACCCCACCCCAACGCAGGTGGGCGGTTGCCTAGGCGACAGAGACTCCCTTTGGCCCCATCCTCCATAGAAACCATGGGATGACTTAGATGCCAAGTTTCACAGCGGAGGAGCCAAAGGTGGCTTCGGAAGCTCAAGAGAAAGCCAGTGAACCCCGAGACCCGGAGCCGCTCTCATTCCGAACCCCGACCGCAGGGGCCCCCACCTCCCACCAAGGGTCGTGCTGACGTCACGGACACCCCAGCCGAGCTGCGGCTAGGGGGTCGGGGGACGTACGGCCACTCCGCCTCGCTTCCCCTCACCTCTTTACTTAGGGACGGGGTTGGGATTCTAGGCTTCTGCAGCCTGACCCTTCGGATCCTCCGCAGTTACCGGGACTCACCTTCTCGGTTGCCCCGCGAAAACTTCCGCAGGGCAGAGAGCGCTGCGCGCGCATCCTGAGCCTGTGGCGTCCGCGCAGGCGCCGCGGACTTCCCGACGGCCCCTGGGCTTCGCCTACCTGGGAACTCCATTTCCCAGAGGCCTCCGCGGCAGGCCCGCCCTCTGATTCCAGACGGAATGGGGATTATTCCGTCATTACTCATCCCCCTCCCCACCGTTCTAGCCTCTTTGGAAGGCCTTCTGGTTCTACTGCGCATGTGTCTGTGTAAAACCAATCGGAATACACCGTAAGGCATCTCTCCACCAGTCAGAGGTCACATTACCACTTCTCCCGCCTCAACTCCACCCCTTCCGCGCGTTTTCTCAGAAATCCCGTCTCAACGCGTTTCCATGGCAACCTACCGCTTGCTCTTCGGAAGAGGGGAAGACTCCCAGTCTTCTAGTAAAGGCAAGAAGCTAATTAGATGATTATTTAACAAGGTAAAAATCTGGACTACAAACCCTGATGCCGCCTGGTCCTGATTCTGTTTCTACCATACTCCCAGAGTGCTAAGTAAGGCTGAAGAAGCGGGAGGAGATGGGAAGGCGAACGAAGTCGCCCGCACAGCCCTCTGGGAAATAGAGTCTTGGCGCTGGCGCGGAGGATCCTGGGTGCAGCCGCTCAGAGAAGCTTCTCGCGCGCAGGAAGTTGCTGCGGAGAGGCGCGTGTGCGAGGAGTTGAGTCTCCCGCTCCCTCGAGGCTGTGGTTGCGTTTGTTGACGCGGCCGATTACAATCCCGAGGTACGGATATGCTGGGGCTGAGGGACTTGGGGGCTCGGTCCTTCCTGAGAGGTGACGGAATGGAAGTGGGGGCGACTGCGGCAAAGGGTGCGTCGTCTTGGGCGGCGGTTGTCTGGGTGGAGGTGTGAACCGTCTTTCACAGTCTGTTAGGAAAACCGCTCAAGGGCCGGGCACGGTGGATCACTCCTGTAATCCCAGCACTTTGGGAAGCCTTGGCGGGGGATCACTTGCGGCCAGGAGTTCCTCGAACCCCCTGTCTCTACTAAAAATACAAAAATTAGCTGAGCATGGTGGCGGACGCCTGTAATCCCAGCTGCTCGGGAGGCTGAGGCAGGCGAATCGCTTGAACCCGGGAGGCGGAGGTTGCAGTGAGCCGAGATCGCGCCTGGGTGACAGAGCGAGACTACGTCTTAAAAAAAAAAAAAAAGGAAGAAAAGCACCTTGGGAGGCCACGGCGGGCGGATCGCTTGAGCCCAGGATTTCGAGGCTAGCCTGGGCCACATGGTGAAACCCTGTCTCTACAAGAGAAGAAAAAAATACAAAAATTAGTCGGGCGTGGTGGCGCGTGCCTGTAGTGGTAGCTAATTGGGAGACCGAGGTGGAAGGATTGCTTGAACCCGGGAGGCAGAGGTTGCACTGAGCCGAGATGGCACCACGGCACTCCAGCCTGGGCGACAGAGCAAGACCCTGTCTCAAAAAGAAAAAGAAAAAAGAAAACCGCTAAAGGGGTTTCCAGCCCTCCCTGACGGCCCTGAGAGGAGTGATTCTGTTTTATTTTAGTTTTGGTTGGGGAAGGAGGGAAATGAGTTACCTGAAGTTGGCAGATTTAGGCAGAATCTTGCTGGAGGATGGATGAGAGTTCTTGGGGAAGTTGAAGTACTTAACATTTTCAGTATTTGAGCGCTTTCTGTGTGCCAGGCGCCCTGCTAGAGTCCCTTTTCCTCTCCTGATCCCCGCAGCAGCACTGAGACATAAGTGCAGGTCCCTTTGGCAACAAGGCAATCTTGGGAATCAGAATTTTTCAGATTTTAGAAAGGTAATAGGGTGTGTATTTTATAATTAGGCAGCACCCCCCCACCCCGAGAAATCTGGCCAGTTCTTGGTCATAAAATGTTTCTATGGGTCAAGGTGTGGATATTCACACTTAGGGGAATATTAAGACCCTACGTGGCCTATGGAGGTCCAGGTGAAGTTTTGCGGTCAGTTTATAAGTCAAGTTCCGTTATTTGGAGCATTTAAAGGACCGTAGATCTGCTGTATTTGTTCCATTTGGTACATGTGGAAACTGAGGCTTAGAGAAGGTAAATGATCTGGACGGAGGGGCAAGACTCTCAGGCCCAAGGTTTTCAGCCCAATAATTGTTTGGCTTAAGTCACTCTGGGCTGGATGACCTTGGGCTCCACCTCTGGGCCCTCATTTCTTTCCTCCCAGGGCTAAGAGTATATGAGATGTGGACAGAATGTGATTTGGTAACTGCAGACAGGGGTCTTAAGCTCAGCTGTCTGTGAGGGCCAGGCAGATAACATACAGGAAAGAAGAGAACTGGTCCAGGTGAGGCTGCGGGGCCTTGGGGAGCACTTGCCTCATATAAAGGGGAGAGTTGTGTTTATTTTTCTTTGTTGTTGTTTGTTTGTTTGTTTGTTTTGAAGACAGAGTCTCGCTCTGTCACCCAGACTGGAGTGCGGTCTCACTGGAACCTCCACCTCTCGGGTTGAAGTGATTCTCCTGCCTCAGCCTCCCAAGTAACTGGAATTACAGCCATGCATCACCAAGGCTAATTTTAGTATTTTTGGTAGGGACGGAGGTTTCACCATGCTAACCAGGCTGGTCTCGGACTCCAAACTTCAGGTGATTCGCCCACCTCGGCCTCCCAAAGTGCTGGGATTACAGGCATGAGCCACTGCACCCAGTCACTTTTTAAACTTAAATGTATTTATTTATTTTTTTGGAGGCGGGATCTTTCTCTGTCACCCAGGCTGGAGTACAGTGGCACAATCATAGCTCACTGCAGCCTTGTGATCCTCCTACCTCAGCCTCCCAAGTAGCTGGGACTACAGGCACGTGCTACCACAACTTGCTTATTTTTAAATTTTTTTGTAGAAACAAGGTCTTGTTACGTTGCCCAGGCTGGTCTCAAACCCCCTTCAGCCTCCCAAAGTGCTGGGATTATAAGCATCCCCCACTTGCCTAGCACTGGTCGGAGAGCTTTAAATGGGCTCCAGTGAACCAACTTCGTGGGATGTAGACCCAGTGTTGCCAAATCCTAGGATGTTTCAGAAGTTGGAAACCTAATTTTTAGGTGAAATTTTCCAGTTTTCAAGTTTGAGACTAGTGAGCCATGCTTGAATTTTCTTTCAAAACATTGTCTGCCAACAAACATTAAGGACCAAATATGTGTCAACTGAGTTATACTCATGGATTGAGGCTTAACCTCTGACATGTAGAAAAACTCACTGTTCAGTAGAGTTAGCATTTATTGTAGGTCTACCATATTCCCATATCTGTAGTCTCAAAAATCTGGAAAACTCAGAACAAATATTTTTTTCATAAATTTAGTATTCATGCCTTACCTGAACTACGACAGGGTATTTTTTTAAAATATAACTTTAAATTATTCTACCTAGAATGACTGATTATACCTTTCTCTAGAAATGGTAAAGTGTTCAATTATGAAGTGCAGCCTGATCCACACTGTGCTGGGATTTTGTTTTGTATTGTTTCTGTTTTTGAGACTGAGTCTTGCTCTGTCGCCCAGGCTGGAGTGCAGTGGCACAATCTCGGCTCACTGCAAGGTCCACCTCTTGGGTTCACACCATTCTCTCACCTCAGCCTCCCAAGTAGCTGGGACTACAGACGCCCGCCACCACACCTGGCTAATTTTGTTTTTGTATTTTTAGTAGGGATGGGGTTTCACCGTGTTTGTTAGCCAGGATGGTCTCAATCTGACTTCGTGATCCGCCCGCCTCAGCCTCCCAAAGTGCTGGAATTACAGGTGTGAGCCACCACGGCCAGCCCTGCACTGGGATTTTAATGAAATATGCCATATATATGCCATGTCACCTTTTTAAAATAAAGTTGAATGTCGAAGCACATCTGGTGTCGGAGTTTGAAGAATTTGTGGATTTGTGTCATTGTTAAGTGATCCGTGCTGCTTTGTGATATGAAGTACATTCAGCAGTCTGCAGATATATGCCACTTGGTCCACGCAATGGATACAAATGGGTAAAGGTGTCTGTGGTACGACGTTTTGCATATTATGGGTCATGAAAATAACTGGTGGGCAGTGACTATGGTTTTTTTTTTTTTTTAGACGGAGTCTTGCTCTGTCGCCCAGGCTGCAGTGCAGTGGCGTGACCTCGGGTCAGTGCAAGCTCTGCCTCCCAGGTTCATGCCATTCTCCTGCCTCAGCCTCCCGAGTAGCTGGGACTACAGGCGCCAGTCACCATGCCCAGCTAATTTTTTGTATTTTTGGTAGAGACGGGGTTTCACCGTGTAAGCCAGGATGGTCTTGATCTCCTGACCTTGTGATCTGCCGGCCTCGGCCTCCCAAAGTGCTGGGATTACAGGCGTGAGCCACCGCGCCCAGCCGATTTTTTTTTTTTTTTTTTTTAATGAATGAGAATTAAAAAAGACTAGAATAGAAAATATCCCAGTACATCTTACATTGCAGGGTAAGTATTACTTCATGAAACTTTTGTTTAGTTACACTGTGTATCTGAGTAGTCATGATACTTTTTTTTTTTTCTTTTTTTTTTGAGATGGAGTCTCACTGTGTTGCCCAGGCTGGAATGCAGTGGCATCATCTCGGTTCAGTGCAGCCTCCGCCTCCCGGGTTCAAGTGATTCTTTGCCTCAGCCTCTTGAGTAGCTGGGATTACAGGCACGCGCCACCAAGCCCAGCTAATTTTTGTATTCTTAGTACAGACGGGGTTTCAGCATATTGGCCGGGCTGATCTTGAACTCCTGACCTCAGGTAATCTGCCCACCTTGGCCTCCCAAAGTACTGAGATTACAGAGGTGAGCCACTGTCCCAGGCCTATACTACATATTGGCGTTGTTACTGTGGGTAATGGTTAAAACAAAAGTTGAAATATTTCTCTTTTTTTGAGACGGAGTCTCGCTGTGTCTCCCAGGCTGGAGTGCAGTGGCCGGATCTCAGTTCACTGCAAGCTCCGCCTCCCGGGTTTACGCCATTCTCCTGCCTCAGCCTCCCGAGTAGCTGGGACTACAGGCGCCCGCCACCTCGCCCAGCTAGTTTTTTGTATTTTTTAGTAGAGACGGGGTTTCGCTGTGTTAGCCAGGATGGTCTCGATCTCCTGACCTCGTGATCTGCCCGTCTCGGCCTCCCAAAGTGCTGGGATTACAGCACCACGCCCGGCCAAGTTGAAATATTTCTGTTGTAGAGATAGCAGCCAGGTGCGGTGGCTCACACCTGTAATCCTAGCATTTTGGGTGGCCGACGAGGGTGGCTTACTTGAGGTCAAGAGTTTGAGAACAACCTGGGCAACAAGTGAGATCCTGTCCCTACAAAAAGTGAAAAAGATTAACTTGACGTGGTGGCACGTGCTTGTAGTCCCAGTTACTTGAGAGGCTGAGGTTGGAGGATTGCTTAAGCCCAGGAGATTAC